AAACCTACCAGGAGATGGGCTTGCTCCTCTGGTCGAAAGCAGATGCAAAAAGCAGCAACCACTGCTGTTGAGACTGATAAGCTGCAACTGCTGCAGTCTGCTAACGAGTCCCAGGTGAGAAGCAGGAGGATACCCTGAGTGATGGGTGGTTCCTGCAAGTGGTCCTTGCCATGGAACCTGTCACTGAGGTCCTGCTAGTCACCAGAGGAACTGCCCAGAAATTATCAGCTTGTATTGTGGGAACTGTTTCCTTTGCTCAGGGTGTCATACAGATGGATTTAAAAAAAAAAAAAAAAAAAAATCTTAAAAAAAAATGGATCTTTGGTATGGGCTGCTTTATGAAAACAGAACAAAACAAAAAAGAACTGTCAGCCATGCCATGAACTCCACTTTACAGTTTGCATTTTTTAAATTCCTCACAATGGATCTGGAATAAATCAGCAATGGGTCAAACCAGTTCAGAAAGTGTTTGAATAACTGCCCATGGAGTGCCCAGAGGTTCTCTGTCAGCTGAGTATTTTGACTGCTGCTGTTCAATTGCCATTTGAGAAAGGGGGACTGCTGGGAAAGGCAGCACAATGTAAGACAACACACGGTAAACCAACCCCGGCTACAAAAGCACACAGTGTACCATATTCACACTGCACAGCCTGGGTCTCTGAGACGTTCCCAAAAGCAGCTTCACATCAATGCCCCTCTGAGCCAGCAGCGCTCCACGCAGCCAAAGGTAAGAGGCTTTCAACAAATCAGGAGAGCCCGAAATATCTCATTTTATCTCTATAATAGAAACAGTAATTGACAAATCATTATTTTACATTTATAAAATATATGATGAGGAACATACCACATGCATTCTAGACTTTCTGTCTGCACTGGAAATCAACTGGGAAATTAGGAGGTATGGCGTAGAAACATCACTACGAATATACTGTATTACTGCTTTTGCAGCTGCAGTCCCAGAATTTGTTTCACAATAATTCAGTTACCCATGTTTAAATAACCAGCCAGCAGAAGAAAGGCTGATATATTTCATATGCATTCTCTTTGAGCAGGGGGGCCTTCACGTCTGGTCTAAAAATGTCAGGCTCATATGACACCACCAGAGTCAGGAGAGATGCCTAACCATAACTAAAAGCAGAATTTGGCCAACACAATTGGAAAATACCAGCAGAGTATATACAAATGCACACACGCAATCTCATAGAAGAGCAGAGTATGAGACAGATTGGATTTTTTAATCACACCTTTTAAAAAAACAACATTTAATGTACAAACCCCTCACTGCACTCCTATGTGGATCCTTTATCCCACTGCAACATAAACAGACTATCAGAGGTTGGAGTAGGGAATAAAGTTCTTTTTTCTCTCATCTTTTTTTTTTTTTTCCCATTGAGGATTTTAAATAGTTTGAAAAGGAAAAGAACAGATCTGGCCTGCCTCCCAAACTGACTTCAATAATAGATAAACAATTTTAAGACTACCACAGTCAGCAAGTACATACATAAGCTATACATTAATATACTTATCTGTATTTTTAAAAGAGCTGCATTTTTTCCCTTTTCAGTTTCCTCTACCACATAGTCCAGAAGAAAAAACGACGTCTTTCCTGATTCACTAAAACCAGACTTTGACAATGAATATCCTAATGGTTTAAAATATTATTCCTCACAACTTCTTACCCAAAGGAAAGCTGCCTGTCAGCTTCAGTACCAATTTCTACAAGTTTTGTGCCATCTTTGGAAGACCATTCTATCAAACACAGCCTTCAGAAAGGAAGGATTTTAGCTTACATCCCGAATGCAGTGTCTGACTCAAAGATGCCTTTGACTTCCTCCAGTCTCTTGCCCATTCCCGGTGCACTTGCCAGTAACACCTGGGGACTTCAATATTTTGCAAAAAACAGAGTGAATCTCAGTATTGGCAGAGCCATAACCAAACACATAGATTTGAAGATATTACTAAAAAACCAAGATTCTGAAACAGCATTTTTCACAAAATTAAACAGATAAACTTGGGTGCAAATTAAAAACAACTCTCTTGTATCTGAGCCCATAACGACTATTTTGAATACAGATTATTTACTGCTGCCAATAAAGAAGTTTTTTGGTAAGTTTTCTGTTATTGGGAAGAGCTTGAATACAATCCAGTCCAAAAAAATGCTGACTTTCCTAAATAGGGGCTGTGTTTTTGCAATAAAGAATACTGGTCAATATACAAGTGAAGGAAAACTGAACCAGATGTCAGTAATAGGACCACAGAACGTTGCATTTGCCCAGAATCGCTATTTTAAACACACGATGTTGGTCTACTGGTTTGTGGGATAATGCATTCTTGGCAGCCAGAAGGAGTTTCGATATGTTAGAAGGTTATCCTTGAGCACAAAAAAAAAAAAAAAAAAAGGAAAAGCAGGAGAGAGGTAAAGAAAGGCCACTAAATCACCAAGTTACCCATAGCAGAAAAAAAAATCATGACTGAAGAAATCACTTCAAAGACAAGCCATTCTCAGAACATTGAACTTTTTTGTTTCCTCCTTTACCTCCTTCATATGAATACTTCATTGACACTTCATTGTACTTTGCCTTCTTGGGTTTTTTTAAGGATTCTTCTGTCCACACACACTCCATTTCACCTTGCAGCTCAGTTCAGTCAGACTGATGTGGGGGAAATCACCCCACACACAACCCAGTCCCAGAAACTTTTCCTGCTGGAAACCTTTGCTCACATGAGGATCCTGCTGCCATCACCGGGATTGCTGGAGGAAGCTGTTCACGGGATCAGGTCCCACTGTCCCAGAATCACTGCAGGCAGTCCTGGAAGCCATATGCACACAAGCAACATTAACCCAGGTGTTTATCCACAGCTAATTTAGTACTTACCCATCTCTAAAATGCTTTCTAGTTCAGAGTCACAGGCATTTGTGATTTGTTTTTTGGTGTGTTGGGCTTTTTTCCTCTTAAAAAGTAGTTAGATCAGTAAGTCTTCTTAATATAGAAATAAAACTTCAAGATGTACTTTGTAAGTTTGGCAAACAAACATTTCCCTGTTTTACCATGTAGTAAATTTAAAAATCAACTCTCTTCATTGTTTTAACAAACCCTCCTCTGAAAGATAATTAAAACCACTTCCCAATATACAACCAAAGTTTTATTTTTATAGTCTATCTTCAATTATGGCATAATCCTTTTTTTTGTTTGTTTTCAACCAGTGAAATATACAAATCACACAAGACAGAAATATGTACATTAAATGTACAGAACAGAGGAAAGGACATAGAAGATTTACATATCTGAATGACAAGCAAAATATTTTACATTAAATAGTGTTTTAATAGCTAGGATCATGAGATTCAGTTCTGCTCAGACAAAAGTCACTAAAAAGGAACATGAGGTGACTCAGCAAATGAAAAACAAGATCATGGTTTTTGTACAATAAAAACCAAAGTGACATATTCAGTGAATTAGTGCTTTATTTATTTCTCTTAAAGATACTCTTTGCAAACATCTGAAGATGAGGGGTAAATATGTCCTTGTACAATAAATTAAGAGCAATAAAGCGCCATTAAGAAGCTGATAAATGATCAAGATGAATTTAATGATACAGCTTAAAGGCTTGTGAAAAGTTAAGGCTTTAGTACAACTAGGCTAAAGTGAAAGATTTTCCTCACTTGGTATCTGCAAAACTATTTTTTTCAACTTGCTGAATTGGACTGAGTTGAAAAGAGGCTTCTGAACCAAAGATGAAACCCTGTGTAACTACACAGAGCAAGGGGAACGCATATTGGTTGGCAAACAACAATTTTCAGTTTAAAAACTGAAAAGCAAGGGCTGAATGCAGCACATTTTGGAGTTCGAAGGTGTCTCCTTTCATCAATAATCAATAATGCCCTTAACACGAGAGTGGAATAGAAGCAATGTCCAGACCTGTAATGACTCAAGTGCCTCTACCAACCACCCAGGAAAGTCCTAAAGTTGGGAAAAGACTTATTTCTTTGTGATTCTCCTTACAACTTTTGAATGATAAAAGCTAAAAAAAAAAAAAAAAAAAAAAAAAAAAAAAAAAAAAAAAAAAAAAAAAAAAAAAAAAAAAAAAAAAAAAAAAAAAAAAAAAAAAAAAAAAAAAAAAAAAACAAAAAAAAACCAAAAAAACAAAACAACAAAACCAAAACAAACAAAAAACCCCAAACTTCCCAAAATAACAAAAATAAAATCACCAGAAGCTTGGAATCAATCTAAAAACCTGAAGAGATCTGAAAATGAGGGATGAACTGCCCCTGTAATTTTAGATGTTTTATTATTTTCTAAATAATTAAAATATATATGTACAAAAAGCTTTGAAGTATCAGACACCAGCAGACCACAGTTCTCCCATATATATGTAACTGCTCAAGTATAGTCTGAACAGTTGTAGTGTATATCTGCAATATATTATCTAAAGCATGTGTATTAAAGACATAGGATGATAAATTTGGTATTGCTGCAATGTTTCATTGAACTATAATAGTCAGTTAATGTTATTAAAATATGAAACTATTGTATCCTTGAGTGAAAACGTTCCCAAAATCTGCAAAAAAATAAAAATCAATCATTCCAAGAGCGGATATCTAATGATTTATTTTCTCACATAAAATTAGAGGAGTTATTTGTCAAGCTGTGTTCTGAAAGACAGCCAGCTATTACACCACTTTAAGGTATTTTCAAATTTGGGGAACTCTATTTTCTATGGGCTTTCCAGGCTGGGAAACCAAAGCTGTTTGTAAGCAGTGCAGCTCCCCTTGCCCAGCTAGAGTGCTCCACACAGCCTGCCCTGGGCTGCTCCACACTCGGCAGTAGGGAAGTGCTGCTCTGTCAGACGAGACACTCGAACGTCACAATCACCAAACTCTGCTGTGAGGAATATCTTTATTATTCACCAAGGCTGATCTTTTTCCTTTTTTTTTTTTTTTTTTTTTTTTTTTTTTTTTTTTTTTTTTTTTTTTTTTTTTTTTTTTTTTTTTGTTTTCCCATTCTTGATAGCTTTTGGAACCAGCCCCTGTGATTCAGGGATAGCGCAGTTGAAGCCTTTCTGATCCTTTGCTCTTTGCCCTCCGGTGACACTGTGGGCACAGTTAGATATGCAACCAACACAGCACTTCATGCTGAATATACCCCTTATTTACAGAGCCCTACATGCACTGAACAGCTTTATATACCCTATTCTAGCAACTTCTAGTGTCTGAAACTAAAAGTCATGGACAGGTCTGTGTGTTCCTCACATCCTTAAGGATTGTTCTAGCATCCCAAGCACATCACATGGTTGCTCTGCCTACTGCACATGTATTTACTTTCCATGGTACTAAATTAGGATATGTTGGATTTTCCCCTCAAACTACTCTATTGTTTGTAAGAAAAGTCAATTTTTTTTTTAACTTTGCAAAATAAATATTCTCAGATTCTCACCCATTATTGCCAAAAATATAAGCCTAACACAGTTCTGGGATGGAGACAGAGGGTTTCCAGGCACTTCTCTTTGCAATCTTTATATTTTTCTTTTTTCTTTTTTTTTTTCCCTTCCTCTGCCCTTTTTTTTTTTCCTTTTTTTTTTTTTTTTCTCAAAAGAAGACGACAACTCGTTGGACTCTATAAATAAAAGTGGAGATAGTCCTGTGGAAAGGGAGAGGGGCCTACACCCCTCGCTGGCAGGTGGCTACAGTTCCTCCCACCTCATCCTGTCCCCCTATTTGCACACAAACTGGTCCACGATTTCTGTGCACAACTTGCATTTCACGTAGCAGCACCAGTGGAACTTGCAGTGGCAGCGCTCTCGCTGCACCGTCTTGAACTGGTCGTAGCCCCGGCCGCAGCACATGAGTTCGCAGCCGTCCATGCCCTCTGAGGTCTTATTGCACAGGCGGCCCTGGGTGCCCAGGGAGCCGGTGCTCTCGTTGCGCACGCAGTAGTCGGGGCTGGGGTCGATGTACACCAGGTCGTGGATGGTGGGGGCGTTGAAGCGGCTGTTCACCTGCACCAGCTTGCCCCGGCTGTTGAGTTTCATGGCGGCGGCGCTGTCGTATTTCTCCTTCAGGGCATCGCCTACCTTGCGGAAATCGGCGAGCTGCAGCCAACAGGTCTTCAGGCTACAGGAACCAGAGACGCCGTGGCACTTGCAGGCGACGTCAGCCAGGTTGTACACCGTCTGGAGGAGTGGGGGAGAGAAGCAAAAACGATGATGAAAGACTAGCGTGGCTGTGAAAGCATTTATTCCCCTCATTTCCTGCCCTCTGTTGAATTCCCAATGGTCCTTCCATTGTATTCACCTTAATGTTCTCTCCCCCTCCTCCAGTACACTGGGAAGGAAGAGCAAGTGAGCTGATACACATGCACCTCCACCACCCCAAACAGCTGGGAGGAGGAGGGGAACACTCTCACCAGCCTCTCCCCACCACTGAGACAGCCACAACAGCACATACACAGCCCAGACAGCAGCATCAGTCAGGCTGCGCTCAAATTTTAGGAATTTGCTCTCACGCCAGCAAAGGATTTTGCTGTTTCATTGAGAAATGTAAAACATCCCTTTATTTTCTATCTGAGTTACTCTCCCTATTGATCTCTGCTTGAGGCTGCAATTAGGGAAAGAGTTAAGATTCCTCTTGCTCCTGGCTCAGCTGCAGCTGATTGTCTACTCTTGGCTCGGCATCCTCCTCCTATCCCAAATACTGCTCTGGAAGAGAGACTTCATCCAAGAAGAAACCCCCAAACACCTATGGGTGGAAGACAGAGCTACATAGCAATATCCTCTTTACAAAGCTTTGGCAGGGAAACCTTAGTCATTTGCCCTGTACAAATAGAAATAAGAGTCAGTGTTGACACTGCCCCAAAAATCCTGGGGTCTGACACATTAGATGATACTGTAGACAACTTCCACCCAGCAGTTACAGAGAGTCTTAGTGCTGCCAAATGGCACTGCAAAGATGAGGCTGAGGAAGGAAAAAACTGCTCGAGTCTCCGTAAGCAACTGTGAAAGTGTCATTTTTCTTCTTGCTAATAGTAATTGGCCTGTCCATTGCTTCCAGACACCTTCCTGTTACATTTAAATACTATTAATTTTCAATTATCTTTCATCCTTCTTCACCTTAGAACACAAGTGTAAAGTCTCCAGCCGACTTGCTGGCACTTCAAGCTCTAGAAAAATAATGATTTTGGCTCTTCACATTCAGACTATTAAAAAAAAAGAAAAGTTTACACCCATTCATTTAAGGCATTTTAGAGATTAAAGAAACCATAAAGACATGTTCAACCACAGAAGACCATGTTTCCTACTAGCATGGAGAAGCTTTTTTACATCCTCTTAAAGCAGAGAAAGAAAAAAAAGTCAGAACAATCCTGCGGCACAATTCCAGCCTGGGAAGCCCAGCATATCCCTCCTCCTTCCAACACACACTGTCCTGGTTGGAAATACCAACTAATAAAATTCTGTTCTAAAGAGAATCCACAGCGAGCAGGGCACTTTTCATGAAACAATGCAGAGGGAAACACAGTAAGCTTTGGTTCCGGCCTCCCCCATGAGGAAGGCAATAGGACTGTCAGACAACCAGAAGCAACACAAATTCTTGTACTCCCCACCCACTCACCCCCTGTATTTGCTGTCTTCTTGTTCTGTGCATCAAAACAAAGACAAGCCATGGTGGTCGGGCTGTGCCTCACTGAGCCAGATCTTTCCCGAAAAGGAGGGGCACGGAGGAGAGCGGAGGGACACGCTGTTCTGCAGACACTTACCCTTCTCCCAGCCTCGTTGTTGTGCAGGTTCATCATGATCCGGGCGCTCTCGTAGGAGCCTCGCTGGTAAACTCTCTCGCGCTCCCGAGCGTCCACGAACTCCTTGGCAAAGCGGTATCCGTACTCGATGTTATCCCCGCAGCCACCCCAAAGCCAGTCCCGGGGCAAGTCCTTGGGCCGTGCAGCTCGGCTGCAGCCACAGGAGGAGAGCTCTCCCTCCCGGCAGGCGCGGCTCATGGCATTGACCACGCCGGCCGCGCTCACCGCGTAGGTGAACGCCGTCTCTCGGCTGCCTGCGCAGAAAGACAAGCGGTGTTAGGGGAGAGCCCACGCGCACCACTCCCTGCCCATCGAGGAGCTGGGAGGGCAAAGGCTCTCCAGGAGCCACCAAAAACTGATATGCCTGCTAAAAGGCAGAGTAACCCTGAACCAAGCCCCCCAAAACATCTCCACTCTGAAAGAACCAAGGAAAACCAACCCACTAGAGCACACACAGCATTTGTGAAGAGCAGAATTTGGTTGGTACTCATGTTGGTGAAAGCCTGGATGAGAGGGCAGAGAGGAGGTGGGTCAGGGCTGGAGCACAATGCCAACGGGGCCAAAGCGGCCATGCCTGCGCGTGAGGGGCGGGAAGGGAAACAGGCTTCCTGTCTTTCAGAAGAAAGAGATGTTAAATACAACTTTTAAAAGTCTGGTTCTTAAATTACTACTTCTCAAGCATGATTGATGCACTTCACCCACTTGTTCCAATTTATTTAAAGTTCAAGCATTTTACAAAGCCTCCTGGTATCAAAAGAAACGTGCAGCAGAGCAACACACAACTTTCCACCCTACACATTAGCCAGACACTTTTGTAGGAGACTATTTAAAACTAACGACAACCTGTGCTGTTTAGTATCCACCACTCAAGCTCATGCAAATATGGCAAGTTAGTCCATGGACAATCATCTTTACAAATTACAGGGAAGCAAAAGCCCTTGGCACAAGGCACCCTTGAAGATTTTCCCCTGCAACTGGTGCCCTTAAATGGAAAACCTCAAGTTTCAAACTTTCAGAAGAAAAAGTTACAATACCCTCAACGTAAGACATGGCCACGTACCATCCTACTGACAGTACCTAGTCCCACCTTATTTAGAGTCTGACTTTCCCAATCACTTTTCCAAGGTTGCCGGAAGTTCTGACTACAACTAGCAAAGCTTTCAGACAAACAAACACAGAACTTGCACCAAAGAGCACACTTGATGTCTGCTTTTCTTCTTAAGAGAAAGTATCCCAATGGGTCTTTTCCAAGAAAGATTCCCAGAATGACTGAAAATAGACTAAATATTTTTTGTTCTGTTTATAATTTAAGTTTTATTCCTAATGTTTAGTCCAATCAGTAGATCAAGCTAGCTTTAATTTTGATTCTACATGATTTTTCTCAAGGAACAGCATGGGCCTTGGTAAAATTAGGGCTTTAAGAGGCTATGTTTTGGGCAAGTTATGTATATTCAGGCAGCAACATTCTGAGGCAAAACTCTTTGTACAAGATGTACCATGACAGGTCAAATATAAAAGGAGCTTTCAAGCACTTAAGAAACATAAATAATTTGCAGTTTGGTCCGTATCTATTATCAAGATGACATCATGATCAGAGTAGCTTTGTTAACATAACAGCTGTCATCCACTGGATTATTTTAGTAATAGATGCTGGTTTTAAAGGGGAAAAATCAGAAATCTTATGTTGGGAAAGATGAGATTTAAGGAAGATGAGAAGCATTTTTCTACCTTACTTACAATGGTCTATTCTCACAGCCACCTGTTCATGGAAGTATTTACATGCATTATGGGTATAAAGGGTTATAGGAGTAACCCTTTTCAGTAAAAAATAATTGGCTTTATGCAGTGACTTAGGCCTTGCATTTACTGCAAACTATAGCAGGGAGAACCTCATACAGATTTTAATGTTCCCCTTTGCTCTGTAACACATATTTTTGGATTAATTCCTTAAGCAAAATTTCCACTAGATTGAGAGGAAAGAAACGTGGTCTGCTTTGGACCACAGGACTCTCCTCTTCGGTTCCATTTTTGTTCTTTTTCATGTTTCATCAGCTCATGCTTTCACATGGTTAACTATATCACTTATTGCAGGATTTACACATAAATCTGACTATTTTTGACTAATTTCCGTTATTAATTTGGAACAAATCTTGAAGAACTTAGTGGGAAGCAGAAAGAAAGGCTGGGGTACAGAAAGGAGAGTTGCCCCCAATTTCCCTCCTTGAACATTAAGGTAAATTATAAAATAGCATCAGCTGCTGAAGTAGATTTCAAGCCAACACTGCCTCAAGTCATCGACCCAGGAACACACTGAGAGTGATGGTTTCACATGGATGAGTTACTCTGACTTTTTTTTTTTTTTTTCAGTCTTCAGGCACAACTGTGCTTTCCTTCACTGTCAAACATATCTGTCTTTTCCCACAGTCCAGGATTTTTCTCTATTGTAGCCATGGCAAGGAAACACACATTCCAAACACGTTCAAGTCCCCTCTCTCCCATATATATAAAACATAGAAATGGAACTGTTCAATATACACACACTGTAGGAAGCCACCCACAGAGCAAAGAGCTGAGCTTTACACTTGATCTGAATAAGTCTGCAAGAACAGAACAACTTTTTTTTTTTTTTATATACCTGAACATAAGATACAAAACGCTCTTTGTCTTGCACTTTAAAAGCATTCAACATCAGGCTAAGGGCAGAATAAACTGGACCCCAAGTACATGGAGCTGTTGGGGGAGGACCCAGTTATTTTATTTTCTGTGTGCAAAGCCCAAGCACAGCCTGCCCAGGACTGATGGGCACGAGACAGGGCAAGGTGGGGAAGGCAGGGAGGACCATGGGCTGACCTGGGAACCAGCAGCCAGGGAGAGCAGTGCAGAACACAAGCCCTAAAATTTTACAGTTCAATAAGCCACAGAGCAAGTTTCCAAACCCAATGCTGGGTTTATTTGTACAGCTTTAGCTAACTGTGCAGGGTAAATGCTGGAAGAAAGACTGTCCATTGACACACAGGGCCATGGCTGTGCTGAGGGGCAGTGCTGTGCCCGGGCGCTCTCTGGGGCACAGCCAACAGCAGATGGCAAAACCCTCCCCAACAGTGTGCATTCAGACCCTGACTGTCACCTTCCACACTGGTGAGAGTAAGGAGTGTCTGACAGTCCCTGACACGTCAGGGTATGGCAGGCTGAAATAAATTGAATCAGGCTCTGAAAGTGCCTGCTTCTCCTTCCACTCAGAGGAATACCAACTGGTCATTACTGGAGGTCAGCGTGAAATAATACAACTGGTACCCACACCACCTCCCTTGCTCTCAGTGAACACACTCTTTACACTCTAACTCTTGGATATGGCTATTAACCTTGCTTCCATCTGCAATTAGAATAAGTGGCTTAATTACATGATGAATTGCTGTGTAGACATCAGCTAATACAGTCATATTCATCAGAAGGGTGCGGCAAAGTTATTTAACTTGAAAGAAACCACCTTTAAATAGACCTGTCATACTTTGGGAGGGCAGAAACAACTATTCCAGAGACAGACACCACAAATCATGAGCCCAATCCTGTACCCTTCTTCACTCCAATAGTCCCCCCGAGTTAATTTTCACTTGCTCGGATAATAAATAAGGGTTGAAGGATGAAGGCCTAAATTTTAAATGGATTATTTTTCTGACATTTGTTAAATTACTAGAACAGAGAGGTGTACAGAAAAAGCTTTCTTTCATGTTACACGTGTTTTTAGACTTTTGCTCGGGTAAGGTAGAAAAACAAACTCTATGGGGGGTTAATACTGTGCTTGCAAAAAGCCTAGGGAAGGTTGTTTATCTAAAATCAGCTGTTCCAATTCGGTACTTCCATGCAATAGATTTTTTTCTATTTGTCTGACAATCTCCAAAGAAAAACTTCTTTTAACAAAAATTGAGACCAAATGTGAATTGATATATTCCTTCAGCTTTAACTGGAGTTAGTCCATTTACAGATAAAAACTAGACTGAGACCAATTTTAAAACTTTTTTTTTTAAAGCAGCACGGAAAAACACTGTTTTACTTTACAACTTTAACTGAAAAGCACTGCTGAGTTTGTCAGTGTACTGATCACTACTTAAAAGATCACAGGTATCATACAGAAAATAGGCATTTTTCAGTTGATTACAATCTGACTTGGGAAAATCAGAGGGAAGTTTCACCATGGACCCAGCTCAATAGCACTGGTTAAAATTTTGCCAAGGACTTTAAAATACGATGAGGTCCTTAAATGCCAGGAAAGGCAGGCAGCACGTGAGCACTGGAGAAGCCCATTTCAAAGAGGAGCTGATAGGGAAAGGGCTGGGTGTCCACCTAATTGTGATAAGATGTTAAACAGGAATCTGTCTCTCTTTCCAGCAGTGTGATTACATTAAAGGTGAGTTATAAAGACAATCACATATTTTGCCCCGATAGAACTGCTTTCATAAAAATTGCCCTGCTACAGTACCTTAAAAATAAATCTGTTTTCTTTAAAAAGAGAAAAAAACCCACCCATATCTGGAAATAAGCAAGGAGGAATTGCCTATAAACACTAATCGACAGAGCAGCAATTTTTAGTTAACCTCTGGACTAAGAGCGATTTATTATGCAGCCGCTAACTTTGGAACTAGACATGGACATCTTTAATTTTACAAGACGCTGCTGGTTTTAATTCTCTTAGGTTGCCTTCGTTCTGTCTCAGGTTCAGTAAAAAAGAGATTTCAGGGCCTCATTTTCCTTTCTCCTCTATTCCCACATGCAAATATATATTCCTACTTTGTTTTCCAAGACACATGGCTGGACAGTGGTGGGAAATCACCTCCAGCTAAAAATAATCCAGCTCCTTTGCCAACTTTTAAAACACTTGATTGTATACAGTACTTAGTAAGAACCTGGCAAGAGCTTCAAGTGCAGAACAGTGTGTGCCATACATATCCTTAGACAACAGTTAAATCATAAAGATGTTGCTTCCTACCTATCTGCATGACTCTGCCAAAAACAGAGTTGTTGTCCACAGTGCTGCAATTCCATCTTCTATGTCTGAACTGATACTGGCACTCCTTAATGCCCGTCTTTGCACCCTCTCCAATGAACTGCATATGGTCCTGATACAATTGGCAGAGTTTCTTCTGTCCTTGGGAAAGCCCTGCTAGCTGGCTACATAGTGGCTGGGCTCCTATTATATACACCTCTGACATCTGAACAGGGTTCATGGGGTTCATGGGATTCATCCCTAAAGACCTGCATAAAGAAAGATTTGGATTAATAAACAGAAGACTCTAAAATAAAATAAAATATATATTTTCTTAAATCTATAAATCTCAAACAGAACTGTATCTTATACATGAGTATACAACTCCCGGTTTTGCTAACAGTTGAGAAAAAAAAACCCTAAACTAACACTTAAATACGAAACTTTTGTTTTAAGGACAGGACAGAAGTTATTAGTTTCCATCCATGTGGTTATCACCATATCTTAGAGACTGAAGTAAGACACAGACTTGGAAGACTTGCATCTAGGCAGCCCTTTACCAGCTTAAATTATCATAGTAAAAATAACAGAAGCTCCAAACAATTGCAAGGCCGGGAGAATAAATAAAGCAAAAATTTTAAAAGTCCCCCAAACCCCAATTTGTTTTAACACATATTTTACATTTAACTCTGGACTTTTCCATCTATTCTACTATAAAAAATAGTGAAACTTTTAGCAAGCCAGAAGTTAGAAACTTACTACAGACCACTTCTAGCTTCTTCCAAATGACAACACAACAATACAGGCAAGTATATTCACTGTAAACAAAATCAACTTTGTTTTCTTAATTCTGAAAGTGCTCTTCCTATGATACATTTCAATTAAAAAGTGGCCATTAATCCAAAAAGGATCACTTGAAACAGCAGAGAAACACCTATTTCAAGAACTCCCAACATTGCACACTATACAATTTGCCAAATTAGAAATTTAAACGTGCTTCTTTGTGACAAAATTTATTTGTAAACATTTGGGTTGCAGAAAACTTCAAGCCTAAACTTTAATAAAAGTTTTTACTTGCAAATCAGCATTCTCTCTCATACACACAAAATTTCTAACCTAAGTGAGCTAAAATGGCTCTTTAAAAAGAGAGGCAATTCTAGTAATTTAAAGGTGATAAAATCCACAGAGAATCTACCATACAGCATTCTCAAACTCAAGACGAGATGTTGCACATTTACCCTTATTCGACAGACCCGTTGATGTTACTACACAACGTACTACACCGAGCACACCACTCCCCAGCTGCCTCGCTCCAGCGGTACTCCCTCAGAAACAAAGTACATAAGAAGCACACAGACATTTAAGCAAGCAAATCTTGACACCCCCTTTTAAAATCAAGTCGATACGAGATGCTTACCACCAAGAGCTGGCTTCTATTACAACCTGGGCAAAAGAGGAGAAAACGGCCAGAGCCACTACGAGGTACTGAGAAGCCATTGTACTGCCAACTGTCCCCACTGCACCTCCGTGGATTAATACTGCACTGGATTTCTAGAGGGGGGAGAAAAAGGATCAGATTGTTTATTGCTCCTCAGACCATTTTCGAGCATTCAAGTTTAAACAACGGAAGTCTCCGGGCCCCTTTTAACTTGACTCTGCCTCGCCGGCCCTTCTCCCCGCCGAGGCTCTGGTGCCAGATCCAGGCACGTCGCGGCTCCCGCTCCACCGGGCAAAACCCACCCCCGCACCCCCACCCCCCCCGCGGACACCGCCTTCCCGGGGCGTCCGCCCGTCCCTCTGCCCCGGCCCCGCCGCTCCCGCACCCCGCCCTCGGCGGGACGGCACCGGACAGGACAGAACAGCGGCTGCGGACACGGGGGACCCCATCCCCGCTGCCCCGGGGCGACAGGCGACGCGCGGGCCCCGGGCCGGGCATTACCCCATCGCTCCCCGCGCCGGGGCCAGCGGCGCGGACACGAAAGGCTCACGGCTGGCTAAAGGCGGCTTCAGGTTTGCAAAGCGAGCGCAAGAGGGAGGGGGGAGCCCGGTGCCTCGAGGGGTGGGTTCCGCGGGGGTCCCGGCGGCTCCCACCCGGGGACGATGCGGCCAGTCCTCGCCCTTCCCCTCCGGCCGTGGCGGGAGCTCCCTGCCGTCCCCTAAACCATCTCGCCGCAGCCTCCGGGCTCCCGCTCTCCGCGATCGCCGAGGCAGCCCGAGCTCCGCGCTGGCGCCGCGATGACTGCCCCGACGGCAGCCCCGGGGCCCCGCCGGGGCAGGTACCGGCCCGGGGAGATACCAGGAGCGACAAGGAGCGGCTCCGCGTCCCGACCCTGCCCCTGCAACAACCGGGCTGCCGTCTTGGAAGTCAGACGCTTCCCCCGACAGGTCCCGCGATCACCGTCTGGTCCTCACACGGGACTCTCTCACTCGCTACCCAGAGCCATTCCCGGGGTTTATTTCCCCTCCCCTCGGAAGGGAAAAAAAAAAAAAAAGAAAAAAAAAAAAGAAAAAAAAAGAAAAAAAAAAAAGGACATTTCGACACTTGGGGGCTCCCTATTCCCTATTCATTCTCCAAAGGCCCTTAACGCTGAATTGAAGGTGCTCTTAATTCTAATTTATTTCTGTTTGCGAAGGGCCGGGAGGAGCGGAGCGCTGGCGGCGAGGCCGGACACAGAACCTGCCCGAGCACACGCGGGGAAGCTGCCACAGCGTGGGGACCCATATGCGCCGGGGCTGCAGCCCGGGGACGAAGCTTCCCCGCGCCGTGCGGGTTAAACATCTCCTGCATGGGGGAGCTGAGCCCCCAGCTCAACTTGGGGGGGGGTAAATGGGGGGGGCGTAAACAGGGGCCGGTCTCCCGCAGCAGAAAGAGCCGCCCGCCTTAGAGGGGCTCAGTCCCGGTAAAGGTGCGAAAGCCAAGGGCGTATTGAGCGAGAGGCGAGGTGTGCGCGGGGCGAGCCTACATCTAACAGCCTGCAACGCGTTGGGCTTTATCATGTCTTTTAGTTCTTAGAATAATGACAGTAACAAAGAAACGCCATGGAACTGCCCGAGCCCTGAGGAGGTTGGAGACGCCTGTGCCCATGCGGGACCCCAAGACCTGTGCCCGGGCACGCCGAGCCGCTCCGGCGGGGCGGGCGGCCGCGGAATGAGCTGGTGAGCGGGACAGCGCCGGGAGCTGCAATACCCGGACAGCGGGGCCAAAGGGCACTGCCCGGTTCAAAGGGCCCGGGTGCTCCCCGTGGCTTGGCCGTCGCTGCGCCGGAGCACCCGAGCCCCGTCGCGGCGGCCCCCGGGGAGCTGTGGCGTCCCGCTCCCAACAGGGGGCGGCCGCGCTCGCCGCAGCCCCGGGAGGCGACGGGGCCGGGCGACTTCTACCCTTCCGACGGCACCTCCCGCGCCTCATCATCGCCACAATCGCCCTCCTCGTCCTCTGGCCGCAACGCTGAGTAGCGAAGCGGAGGAGGCACCTGCGCCCGGGAACGCGGGCGGGGGCCCGGCCCCTCCAGCCTGGCCCTTCTGCACCGAGCAGCTGACAAGCTGCCACCAGAAACAACACACACACAAAAAAGCCAGCAGTTTAAAAAAAAAAAAAAAAAAAAAAAAAAAAAAAAAAAAAAAAAAAAAAAAAAAAAAAAAAAAAAAAAAAAAAAAAAAAAAAAAAAAAAAAAAAAAAAAAAAAAAAAAAAAAAAAAAAA